TGATATATGGGTATTTTGTATTTTTGATTTTTTTGTTAGAAAAAATCTGCTTAAATAGCAGTACAAATTAAGTTACGCTAAGCACATTTCAAGTAATCAGTAGCCACCCACAGCTAGTGACTGCCCAGATGCAGAACATTTCCATTATTGAAAGTTATTGGACAGTACTGCTTTAAAGCCTAACTGCTCAGAAGTCCTGGCAAGCCTTCAGTCAGTACTAACATCCCTGGGGTGAGTGGATAATAACCACCAGGACAATACAACTTCTTAAAAATGGAGGTACAGATGGAAAAGCTGCAAAACCAGGAACATAGTTACTAAGAAAAGTAATGAAAGATGCAATCTATCATAGAAGTTGAAGGAACTGAGAAAACATTGGTGAGATCTGTGTTCATTAGGAATTACAATATATCTGCATTCACACACACAGAGGTGTATGTTTAAATTTTTAAACAATTTGTAAAGTTGAGAACTCATTTAGTTCCCACATACATATAAAATATACATATTGTGAATGTACCTAACTTTACTCTTACAGTACTTTAAGAAATCACTGCTTATACCAAAAATATTTGAACATGAATATTCCCTGAGTTCATGATAACTATAAAAAAAAAACCCAGAACCTTCTATAAACAATTTATGCAAGCATTAAAAAATTAAATCCAATTATGTGTGAGAGAAATAAGGGAAAATCTGGAATTGTCTTTACTGGATGGGAATCTGCCTAAATATTTCTACCTAAAACATCTTCTGCCAAACTAGAACAATTTCTTAAGAGACAGAGGCCTCTTAGAAACAAAACAAAATAAAACAAACACCAGTCTCCATCTAGGCTTTGATATGTTTTATTAGAATAAATTTTCAACAAAAGGTGGCTTTTATTTACAGAATTGAATGTGTGGGGGGAGTGTCCAACCCACTTGGACCCAAGGAAGGATGATCATTAAGCTTGTTTATGTATTTTCCTATTTCAGTTTACATACAAAAAAATTTATTTGCTTCACATTCATAAAATTCCCAATATTGTAAGTGACAAATAAACCCTCCTTTACCCATCCCTTAATCAAATATATAAACAGCTTCAGAAACATAAAATTTAAATTGGTTTAATTTTGAAGTGTAATCCAATGAGACTGAAAACTAAACATTTTAGGTCTTGTACCAAGTAGTAAAATACTCGAAGGCCTTCAGGATCCCTAAAATTTAAAAAGGTAAAAGTTACTTTTTTATTTCTAGAATGAAACAATTTTATAAATTCCTAAAACAAATAAAATCAAAAGTTTGTAACAATTATGTTAATAGAATGTAGAAAGAAGAATGTTGCTGGCAAATGAATAAACTAATTAACACCTTTAACTTTTCTGTAGGAAAAAAATATTCATTCTATGTTTAAAGTTTTTATCTTCACTCCCTCTGACCTTTTTTTTTTGAGACAGAGTCTCACCTTATTGCCCTCAGTAGACTGCCCTGACATGATAGCTCACAGCAACCTCAAACTCTTGGGCTCAA